TTGAGATATAGCAAATTTTAAGTAAAGTTATGATTAGTTAGAGTTAGGGTTAGGGTTAGGGTTAGGGTTTAGGTTAGAGTTAGATAAAATTGTGTAATGATCATTTTTTATTAGTCGCACAACAGGGTTACCTTAGTAAAATTTTGAGATATAGCTAGAGGTGCACCATAGTGCAGGTGCACTATTTTTTAAAATCCTTTTTTTATATATAAAATTTTTTAAATAAAGTTCAGATAGATGGGTCATTACTTTATTTAATACTATAATGCCAGATTATTATTTTTTAAAAATAAAATTTAAATTTTATAATTTAAAAAATTTTTAAAATTTTTAAATAAAAGTCCGGCTTGTTGGGCCTTTTTTTTTTTTTTTATATTATGAGAACCAAAAAATTAATTTTATATAGTCTAATATAATTTTTATTTATTTTCAATTTTTTTTTAATATCTATATATATATTTAATATCTAATAGACAGATTCTAAAATATCAAGTAGGTAGGCTTTAAACTAACGTATAGTTGATTTTGATGCACTCTAAACTAATGAGTTGGCACTAAACTAGAGAATTTTTTAGTAAGATAATTGGCGATTTTTAAACTATTTTATCTATATCATGTATTTAATATCAAATTAGTAGTCAATAAAAGGAAAGGTTTTTGTCTAGTTTACATCTCTGATATAATAATTCCAAACCTGTAAATATTAGAAGCTTCTATAAACTTTTAATCTAATAAAATCACTGGATCAATATAAGGCATAAACTCATAAATGTATTCTTCTAGACTGTAATCAATTTTTTATATTTAAATTAATTGTTATAAAAATACATAATGATTAGTAATTGTTATATAATAAAAAAATCAATACAAGTAGAAATATAAAAAAAATTCAGTATAGACACCCAGTATATTCTGATTATAGATTTTTTTTTCTTGTTATTTTTTGTACATACATTATTACATAGCATAACAATCTCTTAAAACTTAGTTAGCCAATAATGACTTGTAAATCATAATCATAATTGCGATATTGGATTGTACAATGATATTAATTATTGCATGACTAATATCTTATAATTAATGTTCTTATAAAATATTATCATATGAATCTATTCTGCTTGTAAATTTTGTATAATTCTATAAAATAACTTCAAGTAGGTTTATTTTAATTAGTCAGATAAGATCTAGAGTAGATTGTGCTTTTAACTAGCACATGGTTCTAAATTAACAGGTATCTTAACTAACAGGTATTTGTAAACTAGTAGATATTTATAATTTAGTAGGTGTTTAAATATCTCTAGAATAGCGAATAGGTTGGGTTGGGCAGGTTTTAAACTAGATAAGTTGGTTTTTAAATTAGTAGTAGGTTGGTAATTTCTATAGCAGTGTATAGTTTAAGTAATTTCAAATCAGTAAATTTGTAGTAGCAGGTAGGTTAAACAGTTTCAACGTGGTAAATTTGTAAATACATAATCTAGAATTATAAATAGTTTATACTTACAAGCAAGTATAAATAAGTTTTATAATAAAATTTATTACTTATGGGTAAATTTTAACTTGGTACATATATGTAATATAAAAAAAACTTCATATTTACAAATTAGAATTTTCATTAAATAATTTGCATCACAATTACTTAGTAAATATAGATCATTTTCTCCAATTGACTCACGGATTATCAATTAACTATAACTGCTACAACACTAAAAGCTATGATCAAAAAATTAGATTGGAATTACTCATAATTTTACTAATGAAATTATAGCCATCTATTAAGTGAAAATTGTTCCTGGGTCAATTTTACTATTTATGTGAATAATTTTTTTATTTATGCTATAAATTCTAAACCTATGCTATAAGTTATAGTTATTGTATAGATATCTGAGTATAACTAATTACATATGGGTTTATATTTAAACTATGTGGCTGAAGGCCACGTGGTTTAGATATAAACACATGTAAAATTAGTTACACCCAGATATCTATATAATAACTATATTATTATATGGGTCTGATGTAACAACTTGTGCATCACTCTTTACTAATAATTTAAACAATTTATTTTCGTTTGTTCGTAATTTTTTTTACTTATTCCAGCTTTAATTTTTCTCTTTTAATTATCGAGCAGCAACTTTACTATTTACGATCTTGAAGCCAATATTTTTATTTACTGCAAACATGAAAAAAAAACTTTGAAACAACTTAGTTTAGTTTCAATAAAAAAAAAAAGCTTCTTTAAAATGTAGAACCAATTCGATAAACTATTTTATATAAGCATATTTATTTAACTATGTATTTATTTAAAAATTTAATCTTACAAAAAAAAAAAAAAAACTCGAATTTGAATTCAAGACTATAAAACTTTAAAAATGTTTCCCGATTCTGTTAATTCTTTGCCTAACAATTAAAATCTTTTAGTTGAGAATTTTAAAAATATCAAATACAGTCTTTGCCAGTTATGAAAGTTTTAAAATATCAAATACAGTCTTTGCCAGTTACGAAAGTTTTAAAAATATCAAATACAGTCTTTGCCAGTTACAAAAGTTTTAAAATATCAAATATAGTCTTTGCTAGTTATGAAAGTTTTAAAATATCAAATACAGTCTTTTCCAGTTATGAAAGTTTTAAAAATATCAAATATAGTCTTTGCTAGTTACAAAAGTTTTAAAAATATCAAATACAGTCTTTGCCAGTTACAAAAGTTTTAAAAATATCAAATATAGTCTTTGCCAGTTACAAAAGTTTTAAAAATATCAAATACAGTTTTTGCCAGTTATGAAAGTTTTAAAATATCAAATACAGTCTTTGCCAGTTATAAAAGTTTTAAAAATATCAAATATAGTCTTTGCCAGTTATGAAGTTTTAAAAATAATCTGTCTAAATATAGCCTTTGCTTAGTTATAAGAACTTTAAAAATCGTTTGACCAATTTAGTCTTCTCCCAACTACAAAAATTTTAAAATGACCGAGAAAATAAAGTTTTTTTCACCAGCTATGAGAATTTTAAAAATTTTAACTGAAATATAGTATGAAGATTTTAAAAATTACAACTGAAATATAGTATGAAGATTTTAAAAATAATCTGACAAAATATAGTTTTCGCTCTGCTATAAGAGAATTTTAAAAATTACCAAAAAGAATTTTAAAAACTATCATGAAAATTTAAAAACTATCATGAGAATCTTAAAACCATCTAGCTAAAATACCTTTTATGAAAAATAACTAATTCGCACAGGTATATATTTTCATATATACCTGTGCAAATAAGTAAGTGAAAAAAGCACGGGTTGTTACATAAGACCCGTATGATAAATTCTGCTTATTGTACGGGTTTATGTGACTTTTCATTTACTTATTGGTATGGGATTGTTACGTCTAGAGATTAAGCTCGGGTAAAGGTTACCCAGGTAACCCATATAACATTTCTTAATCGGGTCATGCTTATGCTATCTGGGTAACCCAGATAAAAATAAATAATAGTTCGAATATATATATATATCGGTTTATGATTTAGTTTTACGTCACTTTTTGTAATTTGACTCTAGGTTTGTAGGTTTAATCCTTCTTTAGTTGGAACAATGAACCGAGAGAAAAAAATCAGCATGATATAATAAAATAGTAATCATGTTGTAATTAAAAGTTACGACATTTACGTATCATATGGATTATAACTGATAATGAATCGGAAAAATTATTTTGTTATACATTTTATATGAGTGACAGATACGTATCATCAGAAAATTTAATTACCGGTACGTACAACATTTACTATACGGAGTAATTACTATAATCGCAAAAATTTACCTTCGTATATAATCAAATAAAAAAAACTGGTCTAAAACTCTCGTGACAAGGGCAAAGTTCAAATTGCAGCAAAAGTGTAAAATTAAAATCTTCAATAAAATTTGATCTGAATACTTGAAGATTTTTTTTTTTATTATTAATTGTGAGGGAGGTTGGTCCAACGTGAGGCCAATTAGTATTTTTATGATTAATAATTACTGGCGGACTTTAAATTCTAATCAATCTCATGTTGAAACCAACCTCTCTCATATTTGATTATTGGAAATTGAAAATTCTTGTGTATATTGCTTATATCATATTTACTACATTTAAATAAAGTATCGCTTACATCATAACTACTACATTTATAATAAATTAATTGCAAGCATTTTATATAAATTGAAGAATCGCTTGATATTATATTGCACATTTTATATAAATTGAAATCGCTTGATATTATATTTCAATTGCAAGCATTTTATATAAATTGAAATTGCTTGATATTATATTGCATATTAAAGTTACAACAAATAAAAAAAATGGAATCTCAAGAAGAATCTAGTTCGAGCCTTCAAAAAAGTATATACACTAACGAAACTGATAGTGAAAATGATAGTAATGATATACCTTCAATTACAAACATATTAACTGGACCTAAAAAAAAGAGAAATAGAAGTAAGAAAAGTTTCGTATGAAAATACTTTAAAGTAATTGAGAAAAAAGATGGAAAAAAAGATGTATATCAAGTTATGGTTAAAAAAATGGAGAAGACAAAAAATGTGAAACAGAATACTTCCATGACAATTCAACATCAAATATGATTGCTCATCTAAGATTGCATAATATCATAGATAATAAAAAACTAAAATCTGAAATACAACAGAATAGGCAAGCTATATTAACTGAAATGATCCGATCTAATACTCCACATAAGAGCGATAAGCAAAGAGAATTAAATAAAGGAGTTGTCGAATGGATACTTCTTGATAATCAACCACTATCAGCACCAAGAAAAAAAGAACTTCGTCGCATTATGGCAAAAGTTGATCCGAAGTTTCGCCCACCTTCTGATAGAGTAATAAGAAATGAAATAACATTTAGTTACTTAAAAAATGTTGACACTCTTCGGCATGAGATTGAATTATCCTGCAAAACTGCTACAATAACATCTGATTTGTGGACTTCGCATAATAACCAAGACTATATTGGAGTTACTTGTCATTGGGTAACTCCTAACTGGTTATTACGTAGCATATTATTATGTTGTGAAAAATTATCTTACCCACATACTACAGAATCTATTTATCAATTTATTCAAACAAAGTGTTTTGAATATAATTTAGAAAATAAAATTATATGCGCCATTACTGATAATAGTGCAAACATGGTAAAAGCTATTTGATTATGGAACACTGTCACCTGGCTTCCATGTGCGGTGCATACTCTACAGTTAACATTAGTTCTTCCTTAAAAAAAATTAACTCTAAAACTAAAAAAATAAGAAAATTAGTTAATTTCTTTGATTCGTCTAAGCAACAAGAAAGACTAGAAAAGACTCAAATAAGAGTAATGGAGAGAGATAAATTACTTTCACCTAATTTAATTAATACTAAATCTTATTTTGAGGAAGAAGATCCTGGCAAAGTTAATGATAGTGTTAGTACAGATATGGAACGACTAAATATAAATGTTACTTCAAAACCTTTTCGTCTACTTAAAGATTGCCCAACTAGGTGAAACTCTACCTATAAGTCTTGGAAAAGGCTTTTAAAACTAAAAGATGCAATCATATGGTTAGAGGCTAATTTAAAGATTTCGTGAAATTTAGATGATAAAAAAGACAGACAAAATCTCGCTCGCTGTTTACCTGATGAAAACAAATAAAGGTTAATTGAAGAATTAGTTAAGATCTTCGAACCATTCAACTAAGCTACTAAAGCATTTAGTGCTGAAAAGTTCCCTACATTGTCAGTTGTGTATCCTATTATTGAAGTCTTAAAATTTGAATTTGTAACAAATCCAAATTTAACTTCAATTGAAGATGATTTTAATGAAGAATATGGAAAATTTTAATAATAATTTTTTTTTTTTATTATAAGTTATTACCAAAATATAATAATAATATTTACCTTTTTTTTTTTTTTATAATTAGATAGCGATAGCGATAGTGATAATGAAGAAGCTTAAACACTAGAAACTTATGATATCCAATTGATAATTGCTTGCATTAAGCAAGCAATTTATAATTCTCTTTGGAAATATTGGGGTGAACCAAAGTATACTGGTCTTTTAGCTACTTTACTTGACCCTCAGCTTAAAAAAATGCATCCTTGGCCCAATCATCTACGTGAAGAAACAATAAGAATATGCTGTGAAGAACTCAATAATATTACTGATACAATACCTATACGATCCACTTCTTCTACCAGTACTATTTCAACTAACCATTATTTTGCATCAATATTTGATGATAATGATGATAATAATCTATTAAATACTAAGAATGAACTGGATAAATATTTAGAAGCGCCACTTGCATCAACTTGACCTTTAGAATGGTGGAAAGAACGGGAAAAAGGCTTTCAAAATTTAAGTAAATTAGCAAAGAAATACTTATCTATCCCAGCAACTTCGGTGCCAAGCGAACGCTTATTCTCAGATGCGGGAAATCAAGTAACACCAAAACAAACATGTCTCAGTCCAGAAACCGTTTCTCAAATATTGTTTCTAAAAAGAAATAGCAAATTGATTAGTATTACATAAAAAAATTTATTGAATAATGTAAAATTCTTTTTAGATTTTCACACTATTCATTAGTTAAATATATATAAACCAATTGATTATAGAGTAGGTTTACCTATATTATAAGAACTTTAAATAAAAACAATTAAAGGCTTGTCATAAAATACCGTATAATAGTTTCGGAATTATGCTTGAAGTTGGGTTGAAGTTAAGGTTTACTAACTGAATTACCTTCGAATTAGATCTTACATTTACAGTACTGTGATTTATCACCTGAAAATTAGTCAGGTTACCCGGGTTAGCCGGGTTAACCGGTTGTTATCCGGTTAAGAGTTATTTAAACGGGTGGGTAACCCGGAGTAGAATTTTACGTCAGACACCGTGCAATAAGTTACTGTATGGGTATATTGAATACCCAGTTACACACACGGGTTCATATTTAAATCCCGTGCCCTAGGCACAAAATATGAACCAGTGTGTAACTGGTCATTCACTACAACCCATACAATAACTATAACCAATCGAACTTTTTAAAAAAATCCGACCTTAACTCTCTGCATCCTTCCGATTGTCTGATCGGAACCCGGATCTTCAACAATTTATAATTTTGCTTAAATTCGCTAAAAAATTTTCCTGAATTATGTGAAATCTACTCTGATATGCCCAATATGTTATCGCTTATGCTATGCGATAAAATCCATGTTTATGCGCATATTATGCTATCGCAGATTTTCGGTGGCCCTACTACGGACCATGATAAACAATAACACGCGTGATTATCATGTTCGCTTCCGCGATGCAGATTGGTTGAATACACGACGATCATATGAAAATTTGGTTGTTTACGCGTAGATCTACGTATAAATATTTGTTCTTTTTAAACGTACAATAGTTTCCCTTTATCATTTTTTGAGTTTTGTCTTTTATGAGCATTATCGTTAATATTGTTTGCTGGTTTTGCTCTTTACATCTGATCTTGATTTTTATCACTACATTGTAATATTCGGGTCTAGTTTTCGGCATACCTGTTGCCTGATATTTCGTAAGCTGATGGCAGATGCTGTCCGTTAAATAATGTAGTATATCATTAATATATCATTAGTATTTTATTGTTTTGAAATTCGAGTTTGAAAACTATGAATCAAACCATATTTTTTAGGGTTCCGATTGGTGCTTGTCTGCAGAATAAGGGTTGGATTGTTAACCTAGATTAGAAAGTAACGAACTCATTTTATATAGTATTCATGATATTTGTAAACTTGAGTTTTTTCTCCTGCATAAGTCTACTGATTCTGAAAAAGAGTTAATTATGTACAAACGCGGTTCTCAATGTGGCTTGTGCTGCAGGGGGTTCTTGATCTCTTACACCTAAATGAGATACGAGTGTGGACGATATCCTTTTAAGTTTTATACCGTTCTATTCCCCGAGTTCCTCAAAGGACATAGTTCCGTTTTTAGATTTTTGCGCTATATAGTTGGATTCTGGCGTCATGTAAAAAACTTTCCGAGGTTTTGGCGTTATAATTGTAAAAACCTTATTTATTTTAAGGCCTTAAGTTAGATTCTTAGTCTTATCATAAGACTTTGATATCGTTAGTTCGATTCTAGCAAGGGCCAATCTATTTTTTTAAGGTCCTAAGTCGATTGGATTCTTATCTTATACAATTGATTTTTATGATTTATTCTTATCAGTTATTTATAAATGTAAAAGTTTTATTTCATTTAAATACGGTAGCAAAGATAATCTTAGTTTCCAATGTGAGCATTCAATTGTGATATATGATTCTACGCCAGATGCCAATGAATATACTGTATCGTTGTTTTATTGATTACATTTTTTGTCACTTTATACTTTGAAAAATCGAAAGGAATGTTTTTTCTTGTAAAGTATCCTGTTATTATCTTACAAAGCCTGGATGGTAAAACCTCCACTCCGATCTGAACATTAATGCAGGGGTACCCATTACAAGTGAAATATTATGAGTAGCCACATCATTAAACCGACAAAGTAAAATCATGGGACAGTAAAGTCGCTCCGGATAATAAACTTCAAAACGTAAATAATGGATAAAAAAAAAAAAGAAAAAAAACCTAAGCAAGCAAACCCACTATGATATAAAGATAATAATAATTTAGCCTGAAATTTGGTGTATGGAAAAATCGGCTGATTTTTTTTCGTAAATTTAAACCAAAACTAAATTTAGTCAACCGAATATCACTAATTTATATTATAGAATTAACTTTTGTCACTAAGTTTCAGGTGTTTGAATTTTATTTAATCAAGGAAGAATCAATGCAATTGTTGAATAGCTTTAATTAACTTCACAAAGATTTTCGACAATTTCCATATAGCTTAATTCTTTTAGGAAACAATTATTACATGAAACATTTGTTCAATATTCCCATTACTTTTTAAATCTGAATTAAAGGATTTTATCTGGAGTTGCATTTGAGTTTAAAGAAATGTGTAAGCTTTTTTTAAAAAAAAATTAATAAATAAACAATCTTGCTACATACGTGAGTTGCTGGAAGTAGATGCTGTGACGGTTGATTCCATTTCGTACGGTAATTTTTTAATATAGCACTCTTTTACGAGGAGTGGCAGTTCAGATTTCTCATATGCAATTCGAAATGCATTACCAATAGCTATATTCCAATCTGGATCATAACTTTCAGCATATAAATCTTTGCCAATGTGAACCGTGGCAAGATATATTTCATCAGTACTTATACAATAATATTGAGGAATAGTGCGACAATGTGCCAATGTCCATCTGAAAAATAATTCTGGAGCGGTACCGGTCAATGTTGCGGAATCATCTGACGGTATATACTCATTAAACTTGAAACATTCGGAAATTTCCGAAAGGGTTAACATTCTAGAAGCTTCAGATATTGATTTTTTAAGAAGGTTGAATAATAACTGTTTTATAAGCATATGCGCTTCGTTGTGACCAGCTGCCATATAATATCCACCAACAAATGCTCGGACATAGTTTGCATGTGTTGATTCATTTTCATCAATCGATAAGGTAAATTTTTTGTGAAGATGTAGTGACTTTGCAAGCATACCAAGTATCGGATCTGACACACAATATTGAACTATGGGGCGAAAAAGTTCTACGTTTATATCTTTCGGTATGATTTTTTCTGTCTCCAACGCTGCGTAGAATTGAATTAAAATGTTTCCATAACAAACCAGTTCTTTAAACTTTTGTAAATTTGGATAAAGGTTTTCTTTAACATAATCCTCGGAAACATTAAGCAGACTTCGATCTTCAATCAGTAAATTCAGCGAAAAATAAATTGATATTTAATTATCTCAAAAAGTACGTATATAGAAAAATCAAATTATATCAAGTAGAATAGTAGATACCATCGTAATTAGGTATCATAATTGAAATATTTGCGTCAACAATAAAGGAATCAACAATTCCTGGTTGTTGATCGAGGTTCATTGCACTTGATGTTTGGTCTGCATCTCTATCATCAGGAGAATTATTTCGTGCATGATCCAAGGGCCGCTTCCAGACGATTACACGATCACCATTCCTATCATCAGAACTACCGACTATAGTTTGTTTGCTTGAGCACTCGACACTCTGATTTAAATCGGAAGGAAATGCAGCTGCAAGAATGTATGATAAAAGTATATCCATTTTCTGTTTATTGAGACAAGAACGAATTTCAGGAAAATCTTCAGGAGACCGATTGCAGACATCGAGACATTTTTGAAAAATACTAAGAGAGTCGCCATCAACACTGTTCATAAGCAATGGTGACCATGTTGACCCAAGCTTAGATATTTCTTCGCATGAAATCACGTCAAAGTCCTCTCCAGTAATTTCTTTAAATAACGAAGTAAAATTCATTAGTGTTCGATGTTTATGTGATGCCGATTAAAATTCATATAATTTTATCGAGACTGTAATAATCTCTTGATTTTGGGCAATCACGTGAGCTCGCGAAATGCGAATTATGCGGGCGGTGCTTAGAGGCTTATACGATTGGTTAATAGTTAGATAAAACGTGAATTTGAACTACCCATAAGCACTGTTCGTAAATTTCGCGAAAGATCTACGGGCGATTCTTACGGACAATTCTTACGGACAATATTGGCCAGTAAGAAATGCTTGTTGAGACTCGCGTTCTTGCGTCATACGTACGGATTTTAAGCTTTCCGAGATAGTTTGATAATAACCACGTGACTAAAAATCAAATTTTGTTATGATCTGCCAAAATATCGATAAATATCGATCTCTAATCTTCAAGGTTTCTCCCAAAATGGCTAATAATTATCGTGAACTTGAAGGTAGTGGTGCAAATTATGAAGAGGAAGAAGCACAATTGTGGAGACAGCCAATTTATTCTCAACAAAGACAGAGATTTGATGGTCGCAATCGTAGTAACGACGCTACTTCTTCCCATATCAGAAGAATGCCTGACGAAGTATGGCTGGTAAGTTATAGTCTCTCAACCATGTTTTGATCAAACTCACTACGTGAATACTATGTTATACACGTAAATTCTGTTTTAAAGATTCCAGCAAACGTTGATGCTAAGAAAATTCTTGGTGATAAAAAAGCCAATATGATACGTATTGAGGCCTCAACTAACACACACATGAATTATAATGAGAATGATTCGGTATGTTTACTTCTAAGCTATCTGTATTATGATTGAAATTGGATCGTCTTTTCCTGAATATTAATCGTCTATTAAAGCAAATCGAAATGTGGGGAAATCGAGATGAACTCGCTGAAGCACTAAAACAATGGAACACTCTTGCTCAGAATGTTCTGGATGTAAGTTTGGGAACTTTAAAGTATTTATGAACGATTAATCTGAATTTTATACATATATATGTATATATTTTTCTACCTTATTTAAGGATGAATTAAAAAGAGCTAGAGCGAAAAAGGTTAAAGGTTGGGCAAAACCAGAAAAGGAACTTACGGAAAAGCAGCGTAAAAAGCTAGAGCGAAGAGAAGCTAGAGCTGCAAAGGAGAAAGAAATGACAGAAACTCTTTTTCCTCGTGACAGAATGCTATACAACGCTCATTTTGTGTTGCCTACTAATAACGAGATTCCTATTGCACAAATTATTGGTGATAAAGAAGAAGTGCTGAACCCAATTCGATTGGATACCAATTGTTACATGTGGTTTGAACCATCCCTTAATGTAAGCATTTATACGTGACAAACTATTCAACTGTAAACTTGAGAAGGTCAATAAGTTATCTTTTCTTTTAAAACATAGTTGATTAAAATTGCTGGAAATGAAGTTGATTTGGTCGAAGATGCCACTATGCGTATCAAAGTTCTTTACCTAAAAGTTGTCGCGGTATAGTCAAATTTTATTCATACTACTTTATTAAGACTTCGATCTTGAAATGTAATCACATTATTTATTTTAGAGTCGAAGTATTCCAATAAATGTGACTGATAAGTCTAAACGTAATGGATGGGTACATTACATGATTGATATACCTGAAATACCTCGACAACCATATCGCGTTAGAATTGCCAATATACCTGATTGGTTCATGCCTCCCCATGATGTGGACCCGAACACCGCCATTAAAATTTTCGAACCTGTTAGAGATGGGGATCCAAATATGCTTGGAAAGGAGAATGAATCCAATGAACCTACAGTAGATTTAGAAACATTACAAAAGTTAGTGATTATTGGACTTAATTTCGATTCATATCATACTATGTAATAATTATTAATATGAATCTTTAGAATTCAACTAGAGAATGTTGAAGGAATTCAGAATGCTCTTTTACAAGCATTAGGTGCAATCCACTTGCTCGATGAAGAAATCAAGATGCGCGTCAGGTAATCCAAGATCATGATCATTATTTTCAAAATATCCAATATTTACCCTGGTTTATTCTTTGAATAAACTCAGGTTTGGTCAAATATGTCTTACAGATTACCCTAAAGAAGCGTTATGGCCAATAGATAAATTGAATAATAGAGTTCTAAAGAGTCCTAGATTAAATTCCAAATTTGTTACTTGGTTTGTACTTTCTCAATTTAAAACATACATTTATGTGCACCTTTACATTATTGTGACAGCTTATGCTGAAATTGACTGACTCGGAAATCTGGAGTTTCTATTTAAATCTAAATACTTACTTTTTACTAACAACTCTAACCCTAAATACTAACTCAATAAAAAGTCATATAAAGAATATAACTTAAAAAATTTTAAAATTTCATATCAAAATAGGTCAAAACATCAGCATCTGCTGTCACATATGTTCATATGCTTTCATTTCAAATAAAATGTACTTAAAAAATTTTTGATAGTATTGCTACCAATAAAGCCCAACTCGAAAGGCTCTTTGAGATTGTTTCTCAAGGAGAACAGCAGTGGGAAGGGTCTCCTTTTCGCGAATACAAAATTCGTGCTATCCGTCGTCCAAAAAATCGGGGTGATCCAAATTTAGATTGCGTATTTGATGTTGAATTCAAAAATGACAACAAAAGTGACAACAAGATTGGATTATGGAATGCGACTACAGGTGAAAGAAATGTATTGGATATTAATATGGCATGCTTAGACTAGTAAGTTATAAATAATCACAGCAACATTTGTAAATTATTTAAACTAGGATAAATACTGAGATATACGTATTTATTTAGTGATACTTCGTGGAACTTTTCCATTCGTACAGCAAAAAGATTAAGTAATGATAAATTTAGTCCCCAAGGAGTTTTCGTTTATAAATTGCGATTAAGGTAATAGTAAGTCCGTTAACGTATTTTTAAAATATTTTACAAAATTCTAAATAAGTCTCGAATTAGCCCCAACAACAAATTGATTTACACTAACACCGAAGAGATTAAAGTTACTTCCGTTTGTGAAAAGCTCAAATGGAAATTTTGGTGGGGAGATAATTATGTAATTGAGATTACAAAATATGAACATTGGAATTGTGATAGTAATAAATTTAAATCCATATCTCCTGGGGTTGAAATTGTTCTGGGCCGCGAACCTTCGGAAAGTACATTCTATGGTGTCACGGTAAGATATTGTACTGGTATTCGCATTAATTTGCTGTATATAGATTGAATTTTAAATTTATTTTTAATTAGTTTTACAAAGATACTTGGGAAAGAGATTTCGCAGAAAATTGTGGTTTATCAGCGGGGCGTGTACCAGAATGGCATCCTATTGACTTTGTTGAAGAAGAAAGATCTGGAGGTGTTGATCACTTATTGAATGAGATTCGAAATTTCTTAGACGTCTTGCAAAACAACGTTTCTAAGGTGTAACGAAATTAATAACTTATGATTTGTTGTGATCTTTATTGTAAATAAAGACAAATGTCATGATGGCCTACTGATGTTCTTGTATTTGTAACAAACAGTTTATTTATTATTGTTTTATTGCAAGTTTGCTATTTATTTGCTTTATATAAGTAATAGATTGCATTTTTAGGCTAAGTAATTACTAATTTATCAACATCAGCGTTTATTTTTCACAGTGTGCGCATGTGCGCGCACTGTGCGAGTCCAATCTCATAGACAGACATTCGTCTGATTGGCTAATGTAAATCAATTGCCGGGTAACTTATTTATACAGTTTAAAGTACTTTTTGAAAACGTAACGTTTCACTACAGCACT